CGCCTGCCCCTGCCTCCTCCCTCATTGCGGGGGGAGTTGATCTGCCCCCCCCACATCCCCTCCTTTCCCCCTCCCCTTCTGACTTACTTAGTCCCTACTGCTGCTCCTGTTTCTGGGTATGCCCACCCAGTGTGGGGAAACTGGGAGCAGGAGATGCATCCACCCTTGCAGTACCACTGGATGCTCCCATACACCCCTTTATAAAATCCTGGATCTGCCCATGACTATTTGTGTGCTCTTATCCCCCTTGGTACATGGAAGCTCCTGGGCTTTAAGTTTCTTCCCTCACTTACCCCATGCTAGTTGTGTGCCCATGCCCAGAGAGAAAGAGACTGTAGTCTAACGGTCCAAATAAGGCAGAGCAGTGTCTTGAAATTGGGTTTCCTGTATCAAAGCTAAATGCAGTACTAGGGTATTGGTCATCTTGGAGCATCTCGCTCTCTTAAAAAAGTCCTCCTGCCAACATTTTTGTTGAAACTTATATTGACAAGAAAAGGTTTGGACTTGGCTTTTTCCTACATTTTGGTTTGTGTAACCTACCAGAATTGTGTTGTGCTGTGTTTCATTTTCCTTTGTTATTTTTTCACCAAAAACCTTCCTTCTTTCTGCCTTTAATACAGGAAGGGGTAATAATCTATCCCCAGTCTTTCATATAAGTCTGGTACAAAGGCCAAAGATTCCATTCCAGTTTTCTACAAGTTTGTCTTGATGCTTTTTGAGATGTCATGATCTTACTTGATATAAAAGACAGTCACCAGCTACCATGTACTCAAGTATCAGTTTTTATAATGATAGAATCCCCTTCCATAAATCACTTAAATGATCGTTTCAGTTTATAAATTTTAAAATAGTTTAAACAATCTTGAAAAACTGTAGTGTTATAGGTTTATTTTTATCATTTAATATTTATACTGGCATCACAGCTCATTTCCTTCTTACAGCTGTATCCCACCCTCCTGCTTGTATTTTGTAAAGTTAATCAATATACAACTTAAGGATAATTCATAAACTAGAAGATAAATCCAGGATTTATTTTCTGTCTCTTAGGGCCCCTCTACATGCGCAATAGGATCTAACATGCGATCCCCTCAGCTGAGGGGCTCCCAGCCATGGGGGTACCCCATGCACTCCTGTAGCTGGGAGATGCAGCTGCTGTGATCTCTCAGCCTTGGGGCTGTGCAAAACCCCCTGGGACTGACAGATCACAGCTGCTATGATCTTTACAGCCTCAGGGCTGTGTGAAACCCTTGGGGCTGGGAGATTGTAGCTGCTATAATCTCCCAGCCTCAAGGCTGTGTGAAACCCCCGGGACTGGGAGACTGCAGCTGCCATAGTCTCCCAGCTTTGGGGCTGCATGAAACCTCTGGGGCTAAAAGATCAAAGTAACTGTGGTCTCCCAGCCATAGGTGGAACTGAAACTCCCAGACCTGGGAGACCACAGTTGCTGCAATTTTTCAGCCCCCAGTGTTTCATGCACCGCCAGGGCTAGGAGATCACGTCCACACCCTGCAGCTGCCGGGATCCAGCTGGGTCCTGGCACTGGGAAGCATGCTGCTGGGACCCAGCATCTGGAGTTGTAGGACTCTGGGTCCTGGCAGCTGCAGGGTGCTGCCAGGACCCAGAGCTGGCAGCTGCTGGGGCTAAGAGACCCCTCCATGTCCTTGCTGGCATGGTACGTCCTTGCTGCTGGGAGCCTGCTCAGCTGATGGGGCTCTCAGCTTCGGGGGAGACCCTGCTATACAATTAAAACTTGATAGCAACCAGCTATAAAGTTAAAAAACATTTTTGAGGTCTAACTATATAGCTGGTTGGAACTTTTTATGGTGTGACAGGTACTTTGCACATGTAGCTGGTTTCAAGGTAATTATACAATTAGCTAGTTAATTGCACGATACTTGTAATGTGTAAAGGAGGCCTCACACCTATTACTCCTGTTCAGTCTCCATGTTGTTATTTTTTTAAATTGCTTGGTCTGTTAATAAAATGTTAGTATTGTTCATGTGAAAAGAGGCTATCAAGAAACATTTATTAGGAAAGTTTCAATAGAGTTTTATAATAATAAATATTTTAATCTCTTGTACATCTTAGGTCTTTGATTATGACTTTGGGCTTCAAGATGACTTCATTGGCTCCGCCTTTTTGGATCTTGCTGCATTAGAATTAAACAGGTATGGCAGACATGCAAAGATCCTTGGGGTCAGAAATGTACAGTACTCTAGATTGTTTGATAACAATCATACTTGTGGAGTCCAAAATAGAATTTGCAACATTATGCTTAGAAATAACTAGTCGGTGCTCCTTGAGCTAGAAGGCAGTTTTACTTATATTATAAATAATGCTTGACTAAGTGACAGCACATTTGTCTAAATACCTACAGATGGATGTAGTTGTTTATACCTGTTGGCTAGCCAAGACTTTAGCCATTATTGTGCTTAGATTTGTACCAATTTTTTGGCCAAGAGCAGAACTTTATATTGTTATTTTTCTGCTTTAATTGAAATAAGTTTTACAATTAATATTTAATTACTTTACTATGTACAGCTATTTTGAAAGCATGATGTGTCAAATGCATTTAGACTGCTGTGGTTAAGAATAGACACCATGTTCATGACGTAATTTACTTTTAGATTTATTTTCAAGTTACTTGATGCAAAATGGAGAACGTGTTGTCAAAGTCTTCAGAAACTTGATTAAATCAGTGCCTGAAATGCAAAATAAATACTTATCTTTTGGTTTCTTAGACCAACAGATGTTACCCTGAGTCTAAAGGATACCCATTATCCTGACCATGATATGGGAACTATATTACTATCAGTACTAATGGCTCCAAGAGAAGAACAAAGGGAAGTGGTAAGTTTTAGTGTTTCAACAAGTAAGTGTTACCTTGTTCTCACTGTAAATGTTCCATGATCAGATAGATGGTTGTGATATTGTGAATGTTCCATAGCCAGATGGATAATTGGATAGCAAGGGAAAAGCACATACCCTGACAAAATTTTTTTTTTCTTTTATACATGTAATGTGGACAGAGTTGAATTGTCTTTATGGTTCATTTAAGCATGCACGGCCTGCCTCAAAGCAGACTGTTTTTGTGAAAATAGTGAAGAATCTAGGTAGAATATAAATATTCAGCAGCATTAAACAAAATCCAGGTGAATTTTCTTATCAAATGACCCAGCTTATTGCCAGGAAAGAATTTTGGACCTAGTGCTGTGTTGTCTAGATGACCACTTTTGAACCGTATTCTAGTGCTAAAATTAAGAAAGAAACTTTGTACTGAGTGTAGTTTCTGATTATTGGCATTTAATAAAAGAAGCACTGGATGATATTAGTCAACCTCTTGAAAAGGTGCCATACATGATATTAGCCTTCTGCAGCACTTATTTTAAGCTGCTTATCAATTTGGGGCATGAAAGATAATTCAGTGGTTTAGAAAATGTTACTTTTCAATTTTTCCATGTGTCTTACTAAAAATGGTAAATTTAGTCTTTAGCTGAATTTCCTTTGTTCTCTCATTTCTTCTGTTAACTTCTGAGTTGTAAGTAGGGCAGGCTGATTTAACTTACTGCATTTTGTACAGTACTTATAACATATTATGGATTATTTTCCTTCTTATGTACACTTCTTGTCCACAGAGGCAGGGAATTTGTGATAATTTTATTAAGGACCATTCTATTCAAATTTAAGAGAAGCTTTTGACTAAACTCCATGCAATCTCGCATTGAAACTGGAGAGAATTCCTTCTGAGAAGCACCCTTAGCACCTTGAATGGGTATACACTGAAATAAGTTTTGAGGCACTTTGTACAGTAGCTTGTTCCATAGAAAATCATCCCCTCTGCCTTTTCTATTCCTCTTCTCAGTATTAGAACATATCCAGTAGTGAAAAGCATTTTAATCAAAATGTTTATCTTTTATTCCACAATTTCATGTAGTTTAAGGCCAGAAAAAAGTCTGACCCCCACAACCCAGTATGTCATCTGATTATCCCTAAAGTGAGCCCAGCTGTAAGCTCACGTTGATGTAAAGCACTTTGTCATCAGGAGTGAATTAGAAGACTGTCAAAACTTATCCAAGAAACAGTATTGGCTATCAAAATCAAGCATTGAAGGTTAAATACTATTAAATTTATATATAAAACAATATCAGAAGAGGAAAAAATGTGTATCTGAATGTAGTTCACCAACTTCTATTTTCCCTTTTATGTATAGAACTATAGTGTGATACAGGTCTATATTTTTCTCTCTGTCACAAATAAATGACTTAACATGCAAGTAGTGGAACTGATGACTGGTACTTTGAATTCCAGAGCTTTAGAGTTTGAAAATAATTCTGATGCCTGTCACTTCCTTTATGATATTCTTTTTGGAGTTGAAAAAATTACAGAAAAAAATACTGTAATACTCATTCACAAATTTGAACTACAGTGTTTCTTTAAAAATGATTTAATCCATTTTGTTAGGACTCTCTCTTACAGATTTTCATTTCTTGCAACAAGCTCTAAAATGTATTTGAGATTGATTTCTTCTTCCTTTTTAATTAAAACTTTTTTTGAGCTTGCCAGCAACAGCCGTTTTGATCAAAGTGACCTAATTTGTAAAATTGGCATTATCCTGCCTTAATACTGGTTATTATTTAGGAAAATATTTTTCTCTTAAGAGGAAAACTTCTAATGTAGAGCCAATACTCAGCATACTCAAACAAGACATATTCATTATAGGAAGAATATGCACTTACTATACAGAGGCATTTTAAAATCTGAAGATAACCTCAGTGCAACAGCTTGGCCTTTTCATTTCTACACCTCAAATGGATCTGTGCCAAAAAGAAAAGGAAACAATTGTGTAAAGGTTTAGCATTGCATTGTCTGGTTGGAGAACAAATTCAACAAACTGTGATGATTGCAGCAGAGACCTTCAACTCTACTTTCTAGTTACTAAACTAACCATTTTCTTCTTTTTAAATGGTTGTTGCTGGGAATTTACCATAATAAGACCTGTCTGCATTGTAAATTGAGGAAAGAACTTGTTATTAAACATCAGTGTCCAAGTTTTGTATATGTAAGTAAAGTTCTAGTCAAGTTAGAGAGTTTCTGCCACAGTAAGGCAGCAACATACAAAATTAATGCTGAACTGGCAAACAATAATACATCAGTACTTTAATGATACAGGATGCAGTATATCTTTTGTTTTGCTTCCACATCTTTCTTTATTTAAACTCCAGAGAAGAGATTATTAAAATAGATGTCACTCCAATTAAACTGTCATCCAGGGATTGGTTGGTTTGTTTGTTTGTTTTTGTAAGGCCTTGCTGTATGACTGGATTTAATATCATTCTGATTCAAGAGGCAATTAACTACTTGATTAGAGATACAAGGCAAGTTCTTGCCCTTCATTATTCCCATATAATATTATTGAAAAAATTTGGTCCTAAAAAAATACTTATTAAAATACCACATATCTTCTCTCTGTATGTAGTATAGGGGAATGGTTTTTGGCATTCAAATAATATTTTTCTTCTCTATTTAGTTGTATGGAGTGGGGCATTACATTTTTTTTTAATGTGTATTTTGGCATAAGCCTGAAATCTCTGAAGTACTTCAAAACATGGTTAGATAGTGGGAGAGACAAATAAGACTAAGACATACTGTGTTTTCACATGTTAAGGAATCAGAAACCTCCTCTGCTTTGAGTTTTCTTTTATAACCTAAATGTTATTCACTTACTTTCTTTTGAACTAGTTATACAGTTTGATGAAGCTAAATGGTTTTTACACCTACTTTTATGTAAACAGTTTAAAATGTTTGTCACATTGCCAAACTGAATAAATTGGGAGATTATTTTCAGTACTTAAGCCTAGTCTAGTCAAATTTGAAATAGCTCCTCATGATATTTAAAAAAAATAAAGGTACAAATTCAGTTCTCTCTTAAAAATGCAATTGCTGCTACTTTTTGGCAATGTAAGCCTTTCCAATTTAGTTACAGCTCTTGGAATATGTGAAAGAGGGAGATAAGGATACAACACCTAATCATTTGAAACTTACTCTTTAGATTGTTATTATTGCTTATTGCTAGTATTCATGCCCCCAGGCTTTTCCACATTTCAGCCCCTACTGAAGTATAGTGAGCTATAATATTGTTGAGTGAGTTTGTGATGCAGATCATGATGCTTAATAGTATCTATTGCTACCCAAACTGGAGGGGTCAAGAGAATTATGGAAGTTCCATGTTCAGCAACAGTGCACAGAAAGAGGGCAAGTTTGGCAGTGGTACGTTTTGCTAGCCTGCTAAAAATAATGTGGTTGATAGTTGGAAGAAGCCACATCCTGTCATGCTGCTTGTGAAAAGTTGAGGTATTTTGGTTTAATGGTGAAGGAAAATACATCCTTGCTGGAGGTTCAGAGTTCGTATTTCTGGTGGTGACAATATTTTTTTTTGGCAATTTTGAATATCCTTCTCTGTGAATGAGAGGCGAGTGGAACTCTGAAAAGAAAAGCATTGAACAAGGTAAAAAGGTGTCAAGGATAACAAGCGTTTTACTTGTAGCTTAGAGATACTCAGTAGCTGTGAGACCTACCCGTATAGTGAACTGTAAGACCTACCCAGTAGGGCTGTGCAAAACAGCACCGTTCCAATTGGACTTCTGTTTTGATGATTTGACACAACAGCGCTTTGTTTTGATCTTCGTTTTGTTTCAAAAGCACTGTTCCGTTTCGTTTAGTCAAAACTTCTGCTGTTTCGATGCTGTTTCAATGTTTTACCCATAGGTTATTATGGGGAAACATAAAATGCAGCAGGCAGGGAGTTGGGGGGTTGCCCACACCCCTGGGAGGGCTGCGGTGGCTGTGCTGGAGTCCTCCCAAGGATGCGAGCCCCCGATCTGCCTGCCAGATGAGAGAGGCTGGGTGCCGCCGCCTGGGACCAGCACCAGGAAAATCGTTGCCCTGCATGAGCCAGCTCTAGTACCGGGTCCCTGCACGAGCTGATCTGCCCCCACCCCATACCGGAGCTGACTTGAGGAGGGCACGGGGCCCAAGGCAGATCTGCTTATGTGGGGACCCTCCCCTGCCTTGGGATCGGGGCGGTGGGTCCCCGCCCAAGCTGATCTGCCCCGGCCCCATACTGGAGCCGGCTCAAGGAGGGTGCGGGGCCCGGAGAAGATCGGGAGCTCACCTGCACCCCCAGGAGGGCTGCGGGTGCTGTGCTAGAGTCCTCCCAGGGGTGCGTGCCCCCGATCTGCCTGCCAGGTGCTGCCTCCTGGGGCCAGTGGAAGCACTGATCTTCCTGGCGCTGGGTGCAGGCTGTGCCCAGCATCAGTCTGTTATCTGGTAGGCATATTGGGGGCCTGCACCCCCAGGAGGACTCTAGCACAGCCCCTGCAGCCCTTCCGGGGGTATGGGGAGCCCCTGATCTGCCTGCCAGATGACAGGAGGTGGGTGCTGCTGACTGGGACCAGCACTGAAGCCCGAAAGCTTGGCTTCGAAACTCAAAATGTTTTAAAAGTTCTGGAACATTTCAAGTTCCTTTGTTTCATTTCAAAGCTGTTTTGAAGGCTTTTGTTTCACTTCTATTTCACTGTTCCGACCTCAAAACATATTGAAACAGCTTTGAAACAAAGCACCAGGAGAAATTTTGTACAGCCCTACTACCCAGCATGCATATAGGGTTCTGCATACTCGATCTTCTCTATAACGATACTTGTACTTCTCTTGTACCTTCATGAAGGAAATTATATTAAGATGCAGTGTCCAAAGTACTGATGGGCAATATAATTTGCACATAAAATATCCAGTTTTCCTACATAAAAAACATTATATTCTAAAAGCCAGAAACTTCATAAAAGTATATGTTTGTACTGGGGAAAGTGAAAATTTATCATTGAATTGAGACGAACAAATGTATTGTGTCCAAATAGTCTTAACTTTTTGTGACATACTACTGAAGTCTAAAGAAATAAGAAATGTTTGTTTTAATACTGGAAGTCTTGTAACCTAATTACATATTAAAACCATAACCCCTTAATAGAATTTCTATCCCATTACATAGGAATTCCAGTGAAACAAAGAGGTATGGTCAGATTCATGTGAATTTTGAATATGGGTTTAATAAAATTTGATCCTTGGAATTAAATGAATTTGTTATGGCCTATGCAAACATGAAATAGTCCAGCCTATTTATGGTGAAATTTCTAAAATAAAATAGTTCCATAATTTTTAGGAAAGTCTATATTTTCTTGAATTGATTCCCCCAGATCCAGTATGAGTACCTATTCATTGCAGTAGCACTAGTTCCAAGAATTCTAAATCATAAAATCATGTGTATTTGCTGTGTGGTGCTAATACTAATGATCTTTTATATTAATAATGTAATTTTAATAATTTCTTAGCATGAGGACTGGCAGTTTGGATAATTAACGTAAGAAAAAGAATAATAGAAAAATATGAGAACTGCTAAAGAAAAAATGCTGATTCTAATTCCAGAACTTTAAAACATTTTGTGTGCATGATGGCAGATATTTTACTCTTTTTTTTATATAGGAAATGGGTATTAACATTTGGTTTTAAAATTATCTAAGGCATGTACCAGTAAAGCTTGTTTGGTCTCGTGAACCCTAGCTGCATCTTGTTTATGATAAATATTTGATTTGGAACATGTAATGTAAAGCATGGCGTATACATCATTTGCAGCTGTGTGCAGACTAATGAAGTGTTTTTGTTTGCTTTGTGTCCTGTATTGTGTTCGTTTGTGCTATTGTGCATGCATGAGTTTGTGGTTTTTTTTCTGGCTCTTTCTCAAGCAGAGTTCAGTGAACAGATTTCATCACTGGAGAACTTACAAAGTAACTGTGAGTTCATTTGAGCTGCATGTTCCCTTATATCCTCTAGAAGTGTAATAAATTGCTGGATTAGTGCTAGACAAAACAAATGAAACATATGAATGTTACCTGGATCTATTTAATGCAAATAAAAACGGTGATGTTGATTCCCTCCTCCCATCTGAAGTGATTTATCTCAAACAATGCATAATTCCAGTTTGTTTCATTTTTTCAAAAAATATACCCAGTATTAATATGCTGGTATTTTGTTTGTTCTTTTGAAGTCTGTAGTGTTTTGTATGTGCCTAAAGGATAATATCACAGAAAAAATGAGAGAGAGGAATGGATTCAGTTAATGGAATGCTTTCAACTGAAATCATTTCCTGCAGCTCATTCATCATAGTCTGTTTATTTCTGTATTGACTTCTAAGGAAAGTTGACTGGATTGTTGCTGCTTCAACTTGAAATTTATTCTGGTACAGGCAGCGATGATAATACTATGTTGAACAGTACAGTCATATGTTTCTGTAGCTAAAGATACAAAGTAAAGTTCTCAGAGCTGAAATACTGTTAGATTTCTGGCTGATTTAAGGTTTGAGCCTAACTCTTCTCCTCTCTTAGGGATAGATCCAAAGGGATTGATGGGTGTTTTCTGTTGATCCTGAGGTGTTGGATCAATCTTCTTGAACTATGGTGGCCAACCTTTTTGGCAAGTGTGCCACACGTTAAGTCCAAATTATGAGATAGCGCCACTCTCATAATCAGCTCCCAGTATCACCCAGTGCTGCCAAATGCCATCGCCACTGGGTCATGGCAGCACTAAATGCTGTGGCACCTGCCCCCACAGGTCTTACGTGGCCAAACCTTCAAGATAGCACTGACTCCTGCCTTTTCTCCGACTGTCGCTCTAATCCCTATCCTCTCCCTGACTGCCGCTATGGTTCCTTTCCTCTCCCTGAGCACTGCAGCAACTCCTGTTGCTGGCTCCCCCTTTAACTTGGCATCTAGAGTTCACATGCTAAGCACACTGGCTGCTTGTGCCAATTGTGGCACGTGTGCTGTGGGTTAGCCACCACTGCTCTAGGACAGCAATGTAACTTGAGTGGAGTAACAGGGGTAATCACCCTAGGCACTGAGTTGTGAGGGTGTGTGAAAAAAAGTGGGTGCTGTTTTAGGAAAATATATTGGTAACAAGGGCAGCAGTGTGGTACAGTTGCTAGGACCCAAGAAATCCAAGTCTTAGTCCTAGCTTGGTGATTGACTCACAGGGTGACCTTAACTCTTCTATGACTCAGTTTTACTATTTGTACAAAATGAGGTTAATGATACTTACCCAGCTTTCTAAAGCACTTTGACTTATATGGATAGAAAGTGCTTACTAAGCTCTGACCTATTGTTTACTGGGGAAAAAAATTGGCCCTTTAGACCTCAAACTCTCCTTAGCAGCTTAAAAAAAATCACAAAAATAACCATTTTGTCCTTTCAATTTTCCATTCTAAAACAGAACCCTGCTATGTATTTTAAGATTATCACCAAGATATAGTCCCTACCTCCACATGCACACATATTGCTTTTCTTCTTGATTTTTTTTAATTCATTTTTTTTGCTGGGTGGACAACACCATATTTTAAAACTCTTTCCAGACTACGTGGAAAAGAAAGTGATAGTTCACTGGGGTCCTCCAGTCAAGCAGAGTACACAAATTCCTTGGTTTGCAATAAAACAAGAAACTTCA